TCAACAAAACGAACCTTATTAAAAAACAATAATGATACAATTAAGACGTCTGGACGGACGAATGCCTCACTCTGCTCACTCCTGCACCCAAAAAAATCTTATCCCTCGCTTCCTCCTCTCCATCCTTATCCCTTCCGCGCTCGCGCCATGCCCCACCCCGACGCGCGGTCATGGCTGCATCCCTAGCTGGTGGCGGCGCATTCACCCAGCCCGGCGTCCTCCTTTCCCACCCCGGCGGCTCCTCCCTCCCCCACCACAGCATCCTCACCCACCGGGGCGTCCAACGCCTGGATCTGGTGACCCTCTCCCCTCGACGAGGTCCATGGAACACGAGCAAGATCCATGGTGGTGGCGCAGCGGTGTTGTAGGGGAGTCGGCGGCTCGCCCACCACCCGCACGGGCCCTCTCTCACCCCAAATGCCGAGCTCACTACTACACAAAATCTTTTACGTGGCGTTTAGCTTTGGAGCTCGAGGCGGGTGGGCTGGTTGCCCGCCTCCGCTATTCGATGGCAGGGCAGCCGGCCTAGTGTCCGCCTCGGTTAATCATTAACGAAGGCGGGCAACCTTAACGCCTGCCTCGGCTAATATCGATTAACCGAAGCAGTTGTCCTAACGCAACCGCCTTCATTAATATATTAACCGAGGTGGCATCGAAGGCCAACCACCTCTGTTAATCAATTATTTTTGGTGGCGGTCGTTATAAGCGTCCGCCTCTGTAAATCGTTTTAAGGAGGCCGGCGTCTTAAGATGTCCGCCTCGGTTAATAATTGCAACAAAAAAATAATTCATAACTTTTTCATATAAACTCGGATGAAGAAAAACTTTATATCAAAATTATAGCTCTTGACGAGATTTACAGCTTTGGAGTTGAAAAGTTTTTAAATTAAAACTATTTAGGGTCCCAAAATATTGTTGAAAGTGCACATATTTTAAAATTTAAAATTATCAAACGATCTCAGATTTTGACATGATCTATACAAAAGTTATAGTTCTCAATAAAATCTATAACTTTGTAGTTGAAAAGTATTTTATTTGAAGATGTTTAGAGTCCCAAATATGTGTTCGGAGGTTATAGATTTTGAAATTTAAAATTTTGAATTCCTAAACAATCTCAAATGTTCACATAGTTAATACCAAAGTTCTAATGGTAGACTTGATCTACATGTTTGATATTGACAAGTTTTTTATTTAAAGTCACCTAGAGTCTCAAATATGTGTTTAAAATTCACGTGTTCTGAGACTCAATTTTTAAAATTTTTTAAACTATCTCTGACGAAGATACATCCAATACGAAACTTGTAGTACTTGACAAGATTTAAAACTTTGTAGTTAAAAGTTATTTCATTTGAGTTCATTTAGTAGCTAAAATATCCAATATAAGATTACGAAATATTGATATAAAAAGACAGCATACTATATATAGACATGAATGAGTGTGTGGTGCAGTGGTAGAGACGCGGTAATGTTGAGCGCCAGGTCTTGGGTTTGATTCTCCAAAGTCGTAACTTTTTTGGTTTTCTAGATTTTCTGGAGAACATTAACGGAGGCAGGCATTTTAAGACGTCCGCATCGGTTAATGGCAGACACCTTAAGATGTCCGTCTCCGTTAATTGATTAACCGAGGTGGGTGTTAATCCGCATTAACCGTGATCTTTGGACGGAGGTAGTTGCAATGCCCGCTTCCGTTAATAAAAAACGCTCGCCTCAAAAATGATTTGTGTAGTAGTGGCTCCCCTACCCCGGCAGCCATGGCGCTTCCAGCCCCCATCCCCCACCGTCGTTGTCGAGCCAAGTCCGGTGTTGTTAGTGCTGGTGGTGGTAGTGCTCGCGCGCGCCGCTGGTGCTGGTGCTGGGTGGTCCCACCCCGTCGTCCGAAATTGACCAGTCCGAGCCTCTCTCCCCCTATGATGTAAATGTACGTTTTCAATTGTTTCAGACGTTTCTGAGGCATGTTGCAATAATTTTATATGGATGTTGCAAAAGTGGATCAGGGGATGTCGTATATGTTGCAAGTGTTTCAGAGGCATGTTACAAGCATTTGTTCAAACTGTTTCATCTGTTTCCAGACTTATGTTGCAAGCATTTTGATTTGGATGTTGCATATGTTTTCACACATATATTGCAACAGTATGTTCGAAAATATTTCATCTGTTTTAGTCTTCTGTTGCAGCAAGTGTTTTCATGTTGCAAGTGCTTTTATTTGGATGGTGCATATATTTTCACACATATGTTGCAAGTGTATGTTCTAAATGTTTTACCTGTTTTAGACATATGTTGCAAATGTTTTATCTGGATGTCGCATATGTTGCAGTGCCCATACGCATATGTTGCAAGCGTATGTTGTAAATGTTTCATTTATTTTGGGCGTATGTTGCAACAAATGCTTTACGTTGCAAGTGTTACATCTGCTGGTGCGGCTAGGGGGCGTAGGAAGAGGTGGTCCATCAAGCGCAGCGGTCCCCGCGTGGGCACGAGAACCGAAGTGGGTGTGATAGCAGGCGGGGAGCACAAAGTTGTATCCATGGGCATGGTAGTAGGCGTGGAGCACGAAGCTGCATCCATGCTCGACTACTCTCTCTCTCTCCTTATTCCGGATTGATGCGGCTGTGGTCAGCACACCATCACGCGCCAGCAGCAGCATGTGAGCAGTAGGAGTGCACGACTAGGCGTGGCTCGTCGCTGCTGCTCCTGATGGCAGCGGGTGCGATAAATTCCCCCCGCAAGCGTGCACGATCAAATCAGGACCCAACAGCAGAGGCACGTGAAAGGAGCACGCGCAAGCGCATCAATCTAGCAAATTATAATAGTGGGCTTGACCAAAGTGTTCCTAAAGGGGGATTGAGTGCTAGTAAGCTTGACCAAAGTGTTCCATGAGCGTAGAGATGCAAACGTGAACAATAATTGTGGACTGTTTACTGTGTAATAGAAGAGTGTTAGAGACCAAAGAACATCTGTTCCTGGAATGAAATTTTATCAAAAGATGCTGGCAGATTCTAGGAATCTCTTAATTGGCAACCGGATTTGTGCAAAGCATGCTAGAACAGGTTTCCAACATGCTTTCGTCATGGAGATCTTCATAATCGCAGCATCAGAAGTTTGGAAATTGACGAATGGCAAGATTTTTGAATGGTAGGCCTAACATCAGGCTCTAGACTGCTGTGAAGTTCAGGGATCTATCTAGCCATGCACTCATGCTACACTTACACAGGGTGAAGGAAGACATCAGGCCTTCTATTTTTCAATGGCTAGATAGTACTTTGTGAAAAAGATTGTAACTCCTCAGTTTTGTTTTTTTGTCATGTATATATATACATTGTATAAGGATGCCTATTCCCCTTTCATATATTTTAAACAAAAGCAAAGTCAATTTCAGACCAACAAGTGTGGAACTAAACTGAGATTGGCAGCAGAATTGAACACAAATGCAGCATATTCTGTAGATTGTGATAAAGGATAATTGAGTTATACTATGTCTCATGACAGTTATACACACTAAAAGATGATCTCATCAGAGCTTATTAAGTTACTAACTTAATTTCCTCGTAATTCGAGATTGTAGACAGACTAACTACAGTGTGATGTACCAACAGTAGCTACAGAAAAAATAAACCGTGCAATTGGCATCAAACATTAAAATTTTAGTGATTTTGTGATGTGAAATCAAATACTATCATTGCTAAGTAGCAAGAATTGACTAAAATAGTCATAACCTAGGTACAGCTGAGATTGCAGAAGATTGCATATTAGTCATGCCCACAAAAACAGTACAATCAAGGTACCAACTGGCAGTTGTAGGCTAAACATAAATACAAGATTATTGTTGTGTACATCAACACCTATTCTAGGCACAAGAAAGAGGCCAGCCATGCCATTACCAGACACAGAGCAGCAGCAGCCAGGCAATGTGTCCAGTTGAATAGGTGGCATGGTCGTTAGATGAGGAGATTTGTCTTTCAGTTTGGCTTTTTAGCTTCTTAGGTACTTTAGATATCTAGACACTGATTACAGAAGTTGATAGGAGTTTAGTCTGATTAGGAGATAAGTCAAGAGTTTGTTGCTTGAAAGACGTGTGTGCGCGTGTGTGTGATTACAGAGAAGCTAAGCTAGCCTCTATCCCCTTCTCCTTACTCTGCCTCTTTGTTGTGACACCTATCACAGTTTCCAAGTCGTGGCCAAGAGAGACCAAGGCCTTGGCCGACTACAACACACGACTACGCCCTTCGCCATCCTCCACGCACTAATATCCCTGCCCATAACACCTGATGATCATGCAGAAGTACATAACACAGAGGTGAAGACAAAACTAAAAGTTGAAGTACAATACGGATGTGGTTTACACTATGAAACAACTGAACCTATGCTGTGTAAGCACATAAAAATGGTGAGTAAAATCAAGCATATATAATTAGCTACAGCCTACAAAAGTAACACCATAACATGGACAATCAAGCATATATGTCAGATTAAGTTCCAGTGAAAGATAATGGGCTAAAACAATCAAGCAACATGGATACTGTACCTGAACATTGTGGTTGCCTATCATCGCAGCCATTGCGATTGGGATTTTCAACAATTAGCCAAACAGAATATTGTACTGTATTTCACAATCTAAGTTCTGTTAGTTTATTAAGTTTAGTGGTCCTACAAAGTTGAATAGAAAGCACATCTTTGTTGGTCCTTTGGCTGTCAAACAGGAACACTTTGGGTTCATATGCTTAATATATATCTTCAGTACAGGAGCTGAAATGTTTACCGATTACCTAAATATTTAGGATGTTGATATGGTACTGAGTACAGACATCCAACTTGATGAAATAGATACATATGAAAGATTATACCAAGCTAAAAGGACTAAGTAGAAATAACTACAGAGATGATTCTTAATATGAGTACCACAATCTGAAACTGGACTTTTATACCTATCCTTTCAGAGGTCACGAATTGAACTTTTCAATCCAGCCTAGAGTGTGATGAGTGTGATCCAACAGCCCCAATTGGTCAATGTGAAACTGAATTCTCCAATGGACTCCAACGCTCCATCATGATGCACAGGTACAACAGAAGAGGGCTCACCGCCTTGAAGTCCATCTGCAGCCACTTGTAGTAGTAAACGCAGGTGCTCGGCGACATGACCCTCTCCGGCGAGCACTCATCAATCCTGGGGCAAACCCCACAAGGAATTCCCTCCATCATCCCTCCCTGTGGAGCCCTAGTCACCAGCCGATAGCACATTGTGCCGGCCCTGACGTCAATGAACTCCCCCGTGCCGGTGCTCTTGACCTCCTCGAGCACCTTGTCGAGCACCATGGTCTTGATGATGTCCCTGATCTTGTCGATAGTGTACCTAGCCCTAGGGTCGTCCTTCAGAATGCCGTGGTGGATCATCTGCGCGGTCGCGGGGTCGAGCCTCTCGACCTGCGCCTTGCAGCAGCGGCGCGCAGTGGTTACGGCGTGTGGTAGAACTGCCTAAAATATCACGCTTACGGAGGTGCTCGTCTTCCACCAGACACTAAGCACGTCAAAAGCAAGCTACAGCGGGTGGTATCCGTCGAGCACACCATAAGGGGGAACCCAAAAGATCCACATTTTTCCCAAAGATCCAATAATGAAAACGAGTTATAATACTTGTTAATTTCATACATCAGAGTTTCTTAAAATTACATTATTACAATACCAAATGTCAGAGTGCGGAATGCTAAACAGTGGAATTTAAAATAAACATTTAGCGATAAGAACGAGGATCCATCTGAGCCCACCAGTAGAATCCTCCACACAAAGGTACTTCAAATGCATCACCTGCAATAGGGGTAAATAAACCCTGAGTACACAATATACTCGCAAGACTTATCCGACTAGTGGGAATAATTTTTCGACTCCAAGGAACATGATAAGCTTTATAGTTTGCTGGTTTTCTTTTAGCAGAAAGCAATACTAATAGTGAGTCCTTATTTATGTTATTTTTATCAGCCGTATATAAAAACATGTTCTACTTTCGAACAAGAGTTGAACAATCAATTCTATTTCATCACCTTTCATCTTTCAGTTCTTATTACGGTGTTAGACATGAAACAAGTCGTACCGAATCGTCCGACGATACGCGAATCAATGCCCCCAGCTTGGTACCCCGAAAACACACGTCCCGCTTGCACCCCAGGTACAAGCAGGATTAACCCATCACCCTCCTGTCCTGGGTATCTAGGTCCCCGTCTAAACTTGAACTCCAAGCCCTCACTCCTGAGTCCCGGACTCAGTGCAGTGCGAGGACCTACACCATCCCCGCCTCCAATCAGTCGGTCCGGAAAGAGCCGGATCCATGACAAGAGGGCAACGAGTCTTCCATGCGTCCATACCCAAGTATGTGCTCGGGATAATAAATCTGTGACTTGCCCACGATGCCTTATGCAACTACCGGTCCTTAATTGACACAGACAGGGAAAAAGTGTAACCGAGCTATGTCCTATTGGCCGCAGGACACAACCTCTTACACCCACCAATAGCCAAACTATATTCCTGCCCGGTCGCTATTTTTCCTTTTCATCATTTATCATGAGTGATCATAATTATCACCTATTTGTGAGTAACGACAGGTTACCTCCGCTACCGAAATCCTGAGCATAGCAGTTACTCGACATGCACTAGTAGGACTCATAGGTAGATATATTCATACATATAGTTTTCATAAAATGCCTGTAACGTAAATGCATATCATAGATATATATTCAGTGATCATTAAAATAGGGGTTATGCGCTGGGGCTTCCTTTGGACAGGCGACGGGTCAGTAAGGTCAGCTCCAAAAGGCTACGGGGCTCCCTCCTACACGATGATCTCCTCCTCGTACTCCTCAATGACTTTGTCGTACTCCTGTTCGTCGAGGGGCACAAATTCTACCAGCTCGTGATCTACATGCATAAAATGATAATGCAATATTTAGTAATATAGCAACAACAACTCTTAAAATAAAAGTACATCTGTCTAACTACTAAGGTAGTGCTACCGACCACAGTACTAAGTTATCTATTACTACCAATAATAAGTATGAAGTATGGCATACATTATTATAGCAACTACATGTATTCTTACTCCTAATGCTGATTTACGCTATATATGATAAAACAAGGATAATAGCTACTCTATTTATCAACTTACTCTATGGCTACAAAATTTACAGCAAATACATAATAATCTAGTGAGCCTACTATAAAATTTACATAGCTATAGTTATCACCAATTTACCACAAAAATTCCTACAAATATTAATCTACATAATACTAAGCTCTTTAGTTTGAATTTATGAACCTACCATTGTTACAGCTGACTGTAATCTAACTACACTAATAGATAGATGATATTTTTGTGAACCTAACAAACTTGGATTCATAATTTTTGGATAACTACACAATTTTATATTGATTTAAAATTTTACCTTCCAAGCTAAATTAGAAAGTACTCTATAATTCAAAAAACCGGCGGCAAAGAGCTCGGCCCAACAGCCTAGCACGGACTGGACCAGCGGCCTAGGTAGACGGGCGCGCGGTGGCCCAGGCGCACGCAGGCGGCGCGGATGGCCCAGCACGTGGGCACGAACGGCGACCCAGGCGGCAGCAGACCAAGGCCGGTGGGGGCGCGCGCGAGCGGCCCAGCAGGCGGCGGGCGCGAACGCGGGCGCGGCCTAGAGCGGCGATGCGGACACGAGCGCGGCCCAGCAGGCGGCGGGCACGGACGCATGTTGGCCCAGGTGGCTACGCGGACGCTGCCCACATAGCACTTAAGGTGGCGTATTTCAATGTATTTAGGGATTTATTTTCCTACAAGAAAGCGGCACTAAATTGGGGGTGACGCAGGGATGACATTAGGATGATGTCAACAAGCTAAGAGCAAAGGTACGTACCATCGGCTGCTCTGCTTGCCTGCGCGAACGTAGTGCGGTGGTGGTCGCCGACGAACAGAGCACGACGACGTGCTGTTCGCGGCGCTGCTGCTGGCTCAGCGTAGAAGGGTGCGAGGGTGCGGCTGAGCCGGCTGACCTTGCCAAGCCCACGCTAGAGATTGCTCGGAGCCACGAGGGAAATGTTCCGCGCAACCTCACCGCAGGACGACGCCCCGCACAACCTCACCGCAGGACGAACGCTCGTCGAGATCACTCTGATCGGAAGCTAACTACCCGAGCTCTATGTGTGCATGGTTAATTGGAAAGATATGGAGTACGTAAGGCCAATTGTTTGGGCGACGCCGTTTGGAACTTAAAGCGGCCGGCGATGGCGAAAACTTGAATCAATGCCCCGACATCGTACTACCGCAACAATGGTGGGTTAGGCATGAAGCTGTACTCCCACCCGTCCTCCACACGTGCGCGGTAACAAGGATGGGCCAGCTCAGTGGTTAGGCCTTGGCGCGGCGCGGCCGGCCGACGACCTTCCAGACAACGTGACGAAAAACTTTGCGTGGCCTCGCGTGCAAACGTGAAAGCGAGGGCAAGTCCACACGCGTGCGGGCGAAACATCAACGGGAACAGTAGCCACGCGGCAGCGCCGGACGCAACGCGACCGGGGTATGGCTCAACGCGACGCCGAACGCATGGTTTCAGCAGTGGCATACGTGCAAGTTCCTGGCATGATAATCCAAGGCCGTGGTAAATACGGCGCCTTTCGGCTTGACAAGGTGCCAGTCAACAGTGATCCGACGATGGCCGGAATGGCGGGCATGGCCACCACGGCGGCGGAGTGGCGTGGCCTGGCAACACATCTTCGCCTTAGCAAGCCGGGCCTTGTCGGCCCAGGAACACTACCATTGTACAAGCACCAGAAGCTGTCTAAGTTTGAACAAGCGTGTACATGCACAGTATATACGGAAAGAAAGCAAATGAAGAGCTACAGTACCATGCAAGCCTGTATGTGCAAAGCAGACATATACACAAGTCACAAGCTAGTTCAAAAGTATTGCTCGGCTAATTGATGGCCCAATATGACTCTCGGCCCGTTCACGCCACGGGCTCAAGAAGGCCCAAAACCCGAGTACAACACTAGCAAATAATTCTAAGTCCCGTCAAAGCACTCGAGTACACGCGAGTCGCGTGCCAGGTGCGGCAACAGCGGTGCGGTCTGGGCAGCGGTGCATGCGAGCGTGCGTTCTATAGCCTTTTCGTTTAATAAAAATTCGTTTAGCACACTAAGTGATACAACGCGACATGCAATGTAACATTCATTTCATGTTTCAAATGAACGTTTCAAGTTCCATATATTGATTTATACCCTATATTACATACATGTACACACAAGTAAAATGTTCATGTAGTGTTTTAGCAAAAAGCTGTACAATGTAATCTCGACCCGAGATTTCATGTGCCTAGTGTGAGAAGGAGATAGGAAATACATTTTGACGCAGCAACTAACTATCAGAACCAGAGAGGAGGTGGGGGTAATGCTTCAATTGGTAACTCTCTTATTCCCACGTGGCCTCATCCTCTGAATGGTTTTGCCATTGCACTTTGTAGAACTTTACCACGCTGTTCCTCGTCACTCTTTCTTTCTCATCCAAGATTTTGACAGGGTGTTCAACATAAGTCAAATCTGGCTGGAGGGTAAGCTCTTCAATTTCCACAGCTTCATCCGGAACCCGTAAACATCTCTTCAATTGCGATACATGAAACACATTGTGTACCGTAGATAAAATATCGGGAAGCTAGAGACGATAAGCAACTGGGCCACACTGCTCCAACACCCGATAGGGACCCACATATCGAGGGGCTAGCTTGCCATGGATACCAAACCGATGCACCCCTCTCATAGGAGACATCTTGAGGTACACATAATTCCCAACTTCAAACTCCAAAGGCTTTCTTCGCTTGTCTGCATAAGCTTTCTGTCGGCTTTGAGCTGCCTTCAAGTGACTCCGAATAATGCCTACTTGCTCTTGAGCCTCTTTGATGAATTCCGGACCAAAGTACCCACGGTCTCCCACTTCAACCCAGTTGAGTGGTGTCCTACACTTTCTTCCGTATAGAGCTTCAAATGGTGCCATGCGGATGCTTTCTTGGTAGCTATTATTGTAAGAAAATTCAGCTAACTTCAGGCATTCATCCCACTTCTCAGGAAAAGAAATGGCATAAACTCTCAACATGTCCTCGAGCATCTGGTTTACCCTTTCTGTTTGACCATCAGTCTAGGGGTGATAAGCTGAACTGTGGAGGAGACTAGTCCCAAGACACTCCTGGAGCTGCTCCTAGAAACAGGAGACAAAAATAGATCCCCTATAAAAGATGATAGTAAGGGGAACTCCGTGTAGGGTCACAATCCGATCAAAGTATATCTCAGCATACTTTCTGGCTGTATATGAAACCTTCACCGGAATAAAATGAGCAAACTTAGTGAGATGTTCCACAATGACC